AAGAGACCTTACATCCACTGAAATACGATTAATGCAAAATTGCTTTAAATATGGTCACACACTGCATTTTTATGGCAGTATTAATATTGCATTCCTCACAACTCAGGTATTTTCTCTGTTGTTGCACAAGAATGCTTTTTAATATAGTTGTAAGGAACATTACGTGTTTTTTTGTTTAGCTTTTGTTTACTTCATGCAGCTTTTCAGTCTCATTTTTTTGTGCATGAACAGTATCTATAGATATCCTACAGAACATTTTTATTTTGTTGATTTCACATTATTTTCTTAATCTGGCCCCATTTAGTGACACTTGAATGTTTCCAATGAACTGACATTATAAATATTGCTACAATTATAATACTTGTTGCTTAGGTCTGAATGTCTGTGTCTCCACCAAAATTCACACATGGAAATCCTGATACCCAATGTGACAGTGTTAGAAGGCTTTTGGGGAGGTGATTATGTCACGCGGGTGGGGCCTGCATGAATGGGGTTAGTTCCCTTAAAAAGAGATCTCACAAAGCTCCCTGGCTTCCACCAGGTGAGGACACAGCAAGAAGGTGCTGGCTATGAATCAGGGATTGGGTTCTCACCAGAAAGTGGCCATGCTGGCGTCCTGATCTTGGACCTCCCAGCCTCCAGAACTGGGAGAAGTAAATTTCTGTTGTTTATAAGCCACCGAATCTTCAGTATTTTGTTATAGCAGCACGAATGGGATGAGAAATTTGTATTCATTTTTTTTTCTTTAGAGTCATTTATATGTATATATAAGTACATATGTATATATAAGTATTATGTATATATGTAATTTGTCATATATTATCATATTTATGTTGTCTTATCCAATATAGTAGCCATTAGCCACATGAAATGTGGCTAGTCTGAATTGATATGTGCTTTAGATGTAAAATACACACTGGATCTTGAAGATTAATATGAGCAAAAGAATGTAAAATACATCATTAATACTTTTTATATTGATTACATGTTGAAATAATATTTTTGATATTTTGGATTAAATAAAAGATTATTAAAATTAATTTCACCTGTCTGTACATTTAAAAATGTGGCTATTAGAAATTTTAAATTACATGTGTGGTTCACATTATATTTCTTTTGGACAGCACTGTTCTAATGCCTTGAAATTATTTCTGGATTTTAAATTCAATTGATTAATTTTTCCTAATAATTTATACCTAATTCCTGTGGTTTTATAATTATTTTAATAATTTAAATATGCTTGAAATATGAGTACAATGATACCTTTAAAATAGTACTTGGTATTATTGATTTCTTATGTTTCCAGATGATGTGTACCATCAATTTATAAAGTTCTATATATTTATATCATGAAAACTTTTACTTTATAGTGCATTAAATCTTTTTATTCACTTAAGAATATTGTCATCTGGGCTTCCCTGGTGGTGCAGTGGTTGAGAGTCCGCCTGCCGATGCAGGGGACACAGGTTCGTGCCCCGGTCCGGGAGGATCCCACATGCCGTGGAGCGGCTGGGCCCATGAGCCATGGCCACTGAGCCTGCGCGTCCGGAGCCTGTGCTCTGCAACGGGAGAGGCCACAGTAGTGAGAGGCCCGCGTACCGCAAAAAAAAGAAAAAAAAATTGTCATCTTTTCTAATTTTAGGTTTCCCAGGTACCTGATTTCTGCTTTATTATATATATCTTTATTTTTCCATCTGTATTTTACATTTTTCAAGCCAGTTGATTCTGAGTTGACATCATTGACTTTTTTCATTGTTTTAATGGGAACTATTTTTGTATTTTCTAGTGGTGTGTCATCAGTACAAAGGAATGCCATTGAATTTTGTGCCTCTCTTCTTAATTTCCTCTGATCTTTTCTTAATTATCTTTAATAGTTTTATGGCTTGTTTAGTTCTACTTTCTAAATATAGCTGCATTAACTTACAAAAGCAGAATTTAAAATTTCACTCTTTCCTGAATTTATGTATCATTTTTTTTTCTTCTGGAATGCAGCATGCTAGCATTTGTATTTGGCTTTTACTATTAAAGTACCTATGCTTTATTATACGAAGGTAGTAATCCACTGTGCTTATTTTGCTTACTTTTTATGATTAATTTAATTAAATATTTTGCTATAATATACCAACTTTACATTCTTGGAGTAAATCCTGCTTTCTCCATATTGGACAATTTTTTAAACCTATTACATTTTGCTTGCTAAGATTTTGCTTAAGGTCTTGCATCTTTGTTTCATTAATGAGATTTCCTAGCCCTGCCAAGGCCCGACAAATTTACTTAGGAAATATTGTTCCCTGAGGAAACAAACTGTAGTTTAAAATATATATTTGGGGAGCAATTTAAGTAGTATAAGGGGTTATTTATTCTTTAAAAGCTTAGAAAATTCTCCGGTTAGGTATCAAGGTCATAATACCTCACTTTTCCTATTCATATATCATGAATTAATAATATTTTCTATTTCTTGCTGCATATGTTTTTTTATTACATGTTTGTGAGAAATCATATACACATGATTATTAAATCAATCAGCCATACACTTATAGCTAAGAACAATGCTCTTCACCTTTTTTTTTTTTTTTACAGACTTAGTCACACTGCTTATTTATTTGCTTTTACACAAAGTAATGCAATGATAACAAAGAATGATAGCTAATATTAAATGGGCATTTGCTCTACGCCAGAAATGTAGTGGGTTCATTACCTTCTTTCCACCCTCATGGAAACCCCAGGAAGTAGATACTATGTTAAACCCCAGTTTACAGATGAGGAAGTTGAGGTACTGAGAGATGACATCATTTTCCCAAGGTCATCCAGTTGGTCAAAGTTAAACTGGAGCTCAAACCCAAACTTGTCTGATTCCAAAGCCATGACTAGCATAAAACAAAATGAAGCTCGTGGTGTGAATGAGGGCAAAAGGGGAATTCATTCACATGCCCTCACCCAGTCCTCTCCTTGGCCTGGTCTAGTGTGAAACCCAACCACTTAGTAAGATTATGAGAGAAATTCTTAACACTCCCACTCTCTTTTGACCCTGTCACCCGAAGGTGAACTGGTGTTAAATAAATGAATTACCCCTGGCCTCAGAAAATAAGGCTACAAATCTCTGCGTCAATCAGTCTGGTCAAAACTCTTAGGATGGAAGATCCCTCTACTTAGTCCAGATCTCAGAAACGTAGAATGTGGAGGTACCTCAGTCTTTACATCATTCCGCTGCTTCAGATCATCCAGATCGCCTGGAATTTAGGACCCGAGATGATGTATGTACAAGCTGGACCTTCCAGCTTCCTCTTCCTCTCTCCCTGTTTATCCACCACTTCCTCCATCTGAATAAGGGGGACATTTACCTTGTGAATACCCTGAGTGCTTCTTAACAAAATTTGTGCTGTTTTAATGGTCTTCTCCCTGATTAGACTGATTTGTAATTTCTCCTTTTCATTGGGGCAATGATTTATCAATTTTGTCCATTTTGTCCAAATGCAAACTTCCATTCTGTTGGTTTATTTTGATTATTCTTCCTTTATTTTAAACCTTCTTGTTGTGTTTTTGTTTTCCTGCTTCGTTTTGTCCCATTACCTTATTCCGTCTTGAAGTTCTTTAGGCACAGAATTAATTCATGATGTTTCTATCCTCATTTTTATTGTTAATATACATCTAAGGAGATACATTTTCTTAGCACATTTCTGCCGGTGTCTTATTACTTATGATTTGTTGTACTTACATGCTTGCTATTTAAAAAAATATATTTTTGATGCTGCTGTAGCTTTCCTCTATGTAATTAAATATGGTATTTACATTTTTAATTTCCATGTGATTTGTTTCTGTAGAATTTTATTTTCCCTACTTAATTATAATTGTACTGTTACGTTGTGGTGTGAGAATGTGGTTTCATAGATTTCATGCTATTGTTTTCTGCATTAACTGAGTTCATTTTTATGTCCCAGTATATGATTAATTTGTAGAACTAGAAAGAATCTTTATAATCCCTTGCCCTATGATTCAATACTTTCCGTATGTCTGTTAGCTCCACTTTATTCCTTACATTTTTCAGCTATATTGTTTCTTTTGTATTTGTCCACAGATTCTGCCACATCCTTTTCGTCCTGAAGTCTATAATTATATTTCTATGAGTTTGTCCTTGTACTTGGCCAGCTTCTCCTACATATGCCTTAGTCAAGGACTGGCTTCAAGGTCATCTCAACCCATGCAGTAGCGCAGGCTTCTGCTCTCAGAGGGACCCTGTACTTAGTTTAATGCGCTGCTGTTACTGTTTTGAAACTCTTCATAATTTCTGAGCAAAAGGCCCTCCATTTTCACCGTGCAAGGTGCTGCCGCAAATTATGTAGCCGGTCCTGCTTGTTCCTTATATCCTGCGGCTTCGCTGAACTCATTGTTATTACAAGCTGCTTGGAGATGATTTGTTGGCTTTTCTAGATAAGTCATTCCATCATCTAACTGAAATCCTCTTCCAGCCAGGTAGCTTCGGGAAAGTCCTCCGGTTAGCCCTTCCCCACCCCCAGGGTGAGATCTCTTCTAAAAGTTCTCTCTTCTCGTCTCCTTCACTTAATGTCAAGTGTTCTTGTCTTACTTCCAGAGGCGCTGGAGGAGCTTGTGGTCAGGTGTGCAACAGATGAGACCCACTTGAGGCCTCTGTCAGCAGGACTTTTGTCCGGAGAAGCAAGAGCAGAAGCTGCAGTAAGCTCTGCCCCTCACCCCTCTCCCACCCCACGGCCCAGGAGCCCTCATCTTCCTCAGCCCCCTAACGCGGAAAGGATGGGGCTCGCTCCCATGCACTTGGGCGTTTGGGCCCGTGATCCTTTTTTGCCGTACTCCTCTCTGCTTTAGCTGTACACATCGTTCTGGAGGTCCCAAACTCACTTGCCTTCAAACCTTAACCTTTCCAGGCATCCTGGGAGTTAGAGCTGCCACGGGCGGGACCGGGTTAAAACCCACTGGAGCATCCTTGAAAATTTTAACTTGAGTTGGGCTTGTCTCTTACCTGTGGTTTGGCCTTAGGCAAGTCACTTCACCTGTCTGAGCCTTCTTGGTCTGCCCATCTGTAAAATGGAGGAAATGACAGTAGCTATGCTTCAGAGCGTCTGTGAGCGTTAGGGTTAGGGTCCCTGAAATGGTGTCCAGGGTGTAGCAAGTGTCAATGATGCTCCGCTGAGCTTCATGGTGGATCCTCAAGCCTGGTGCTAGCTCAGCCCCCTGAGGTCTTCTTTGTCTCTCTGGACAGTGACCTCAGGAAGGGATGTAGGGGAAGTTCTCCAGGTCTCTGGGCCTCTGGTAAGAAAGAGCCAACTGGGATGACTGAACTGGGTCTCAATCTGCAGAATATAATACAGAGAGATAAATGTGTTCCCATAGCTACCCATTGTTCTTGGGCTGGACTTTCAAGGTGGGCACACTGGCTTTTTCCCCCCCTCAGGACTGCATAGTTGCTGAGTTAGTGGAACCATACTTGGCCCTGGGCAAGTTACATAACTTTGGATGTGCCCTTGTAGCCACATCTGTAAAGTGAGGTTAAATGCGTCCTACCTGCCCCTCTTCCTGGTTTCGACACCATGTTCCTTCTTCCCTCTTATTCAGGGAGGCTATTGGCTCAGAAGGAGATAAGCAGGCTCTGTATTGCCCGTTGACCCTGGTTCCCTTTGTCTCATTCTTCTCATTCCCCAGATTGACCTTCTTTTTTTTTTTTCAGTGTAGCTGCTGCCACATGCTGAAACTCCACTAACAGAAATCCTACTTCCAGATCCTGGAGATAGAGTCTTGATGAAATAAATCCATAAAGCTTGAATCTCAAAGCAGGCCCACCCCAGGGCCCTGGTTTACTCACCCCCTAAGGGCCTATGTTTAGGCCTGGGTAAGGATGTGAAGCTGCTTCTCAGATGTCCTGCTCATCCCAAGATGCCCCCATGGCCTGCCTCTAAGGCCTGACATGGTGTGAATTTGCTCCGGGACACTAAATACTGAGTACTTGGTTCCTGACACGAACTCTACTCACACCAGAATCAAGTAGAGCTCTCGAGCCAGCTTCACAAGGAATACTCTAATTCCACTAATGCCTTCTGTCATTTTGATGCATAGGAATAATCCCGTTTCCAACCCTTGACCCCCCCCCCCTTACTCACCCACCTTTCTGGATTGATAAATGGTTTTCCCCATTACAGTCTCTGGTTGCTGGGCTAGCTTCTCTCTTTCTTCTTGATGAGATCACAATTTGGAAGGACACAATTTCTGTCCTCTCATGGTTTTGTGTTTCTTTCTCTGAAGAGCTATTAGCTTGTGAGATGCACTAGAAAGACTAGAAAGGTTTTACAACATGCTGTGTGCTGATGGGGGCGTTAGTGGGCAGTTGTGAAACCCCCAAGTCAATGTAACGTACAGGAGTCAGTTGTCAATAACACCACCAAGGGAATATAGTGTGTATGTTCCAACAAATATCCCTATTCTGTGATTGAGCAGACACTTTATTATATTCAAAGTGAAAATAAAGGGGGCCATTGACTGGGGCTCTGAAATTTGCGGGTATGGAAAGTTTTACTGTGAAATATTTACCACACCCCAAACTCACCTTTATGGGGACCAGTGAGAAGGGAAATACATTAAATACAGATGAAGCTGAGACTTCCTGTGTGCGCCAGAAAACTCTTGTGGGTCTAACTGACCTTTGGGGGAAATTACTTGTGAGCTCGAATTGCTACCTTTTTAATCAGCATTCATATCCTCCTTTAACACTTGCAAATGTTGGTCTGCATCCATCCCAGAAGGCAGGTTGGGTGGTAGGTCAGCGTTTTTCTCCCTGTGTGACCAAAGAGGAAAATGAAATCCCCAAGGTTTAAAGGATTTGTCTTATGACAAACAGTGACTAAATGGCAGGTGTTCTGATTGGAACTCCTAACAAAAGCATCTCAGGTCTGGGGGCTGAGTCACACAGCCAGGCTTGCTTCCTAACATCCTAAAAGACAGAAGCTTTGAATTTCACTACAAGTAAGAGTAAGAACAGTAGATTGTTGGAATGAAATGTTTATACACCACTGCAGAGAAAGGGGCTTATGAAGGACTTAAGATTTAAGCTGTGTATTTAAAAAGAAAAAAGAGGCAGAGCAGAGATGGTTGGACTCATTTTTATGGCCGAAATGTCAGCGTAGATTAATTTGGTCTTTGTAGGGAGATGGATGGATTAAAGGACACAGAGATGATGGGTGAAGGTGCGGAGAGTTTATGGAGGCAGTAAGCCTGACTTTGACACTGGAGAATATGGTGATGACATTTTTAATTTTGGATGCAACATAGAGTTAAAAACCCAAGGTATTGTTATCAGAACTGGAGATTGAAGGTGATTTAAAATTGCTCCACATACAATTGCTCCATAATGTTAAATTGCATTAACACTGTACTCTACTAGACACTTTAATTGCCCCTAACTGTTACAAACACAGCAAGACCTCAGCATCAAAGAAGTTACCATGTTAGGAAAAGAACCATTTTATAATTCCCCGAGTGGAGAATCTTCCCAGAGAAGAGAATGTCCTGGGATAAAGAGAAACCAGGGAACCTAATTTAAACGGTAGGAAAAAAACGGACCAATTATGTGCAACACTTGAACTCAGACTCTGGGAATACATGATTGCAAAGGTATTCCACTTCAAGGCAGCAAACGATGGGGAATCACCTCCCCACTGAGCAATACGGAGCTTTGGAAGAGGGCTGAAACCTTACATTACACACAATAGTAATTCCCCTAAAATGAAAACTACCCAGAACTGAAAAAAACAAACAACCAACCAAACGAACAAAAAACCCAACATCTAATTTGACTTTAAAAAGTTTTAAAAAAATCTGTGGCTTAACACCCAGAAGCAGGTGGTCAAAAGAGTCATTCATTATGAATTTTGCCTTCGGGCTGGAGCCGGCCCAGACCATCCTGGTAGATAATTGCCTACCCTATCCTTAAGGTTCTTGTGCAGAGGAAATTCCAGAGCCCTCTCGGTAATGCGGGCCAGTGCCTAGTGGCAGCACAAGGATTTCCTCTCCATGGAGCCTGAAATCCCTGTGGTCCTAGTTTATCCACTTCCTCTTGGTCTTGTGCTAGTCCCAGGTGAGCTCAAGATCCTCTGTTTATATGATTCCATGATATGAAAAGATCATTTAAGGCTCCCTGCACATTAGGTCTTAACGAAGGTTTAATAATGCAAGAAGCGTTTGGATGGGTCTTAGTTTGTGCTCCCGGCTTCCCCAGAATGACCTCTGACCCCTGTTCAACAAGCCAGACTGTCACTTCCTTGAAGCCCTGGTTCATTCAAGTCTCGCTCCCATCCCAAGCCCCCTCCTAGGTGTTCCTCTGTACCCAGGCAGATCAGAAAACCGAAGCGCATGGCTCCCAATCTCTCTTCACTTGCCCCAGATCCCTCCTCTGTTTTCTGAGTTTTTTGGGTGGTGTTGGGTGTGGTTGGCCGTGTCCTAAGCCTTGTTGTCCACCACCTGGGTAGCAGGATTAACCTGTCTTTGTTCTCTCACTTGGCCTCCATATGTCTCTACCGAAAAGGACAAGGTGACACTTGGCTAACTGTTTGCTAATGTGCATGAGAGTGGGCGCTGTCTAGGGAAGCTTCCTTTGGCCAGGTAATTTGTACATTTCCACAGCAGCCTTCTGGAGATTTCGTCCTCTCTCTTGTGTTGTGTACTGCTACAGGTGGGCCTTTCTAACTCATTAAGAAAGGAGTTGGGCAGCATGCCAAGCTGGAGGGGTAATGTTTTTGGTCTTGCCAGGTTTTGCTGCATCGCACCTCTCAGGGTTACGTCAGAATTTTTACTGACCTATGAAAGGGCTAGGATGGCTCCTTTCGTTGATTATTCTTAACTACTTTTTAAATTGGAAATGTAATGCGTGCACAATGGGGAATAAACCTCCCTCCGACCCCAAACTCTCAGTTGCCTTCCCCGATAGCATCACATATGGTCCTTTCCATAAAGTCCATGTATAGTTAACAGATGGTAGCTTCATGAATGCATTTATTTGTAACAGATCATACGGCAAAACAGGAAGAAATGTCAGAAGGCATAGAATAAAACATACTCATACTCAGAATATCCAAAGAAAGAGACCTTACAAAATAAGAAAGGACTTTATAAGGATATGAGGGACAAAGATGGATTTTCAAAAAAGATGTATTAAACTCAACACATTTATTGAGGAGCTATTATGTGTCAGGTTCTGGGCTGGTGCAGAGAGTTTGAAGGTGAATCCTATATACTGTCAAACTCTGACGAGCTCAGTTAGTATGGAGAAAAGACTTGTAAGTTGTCCTCTGTTGAACTCTAACTCATATGGGGAAGAGACTCATAAATAATTACAATATAGTGTAATCAGGGCTGGAGTAGAGGTATGTGCTACTTTAAGAGCCAGGAATAGCAGCATACTATGTCTTCTGGAGTCAGGAACATCCTAGCAAAGGAGGAAACATTTGTGTTTTCTTGAAGGATGCCTTTAAGTTCTTCCAATGGAGGGAGGGAAACAGGAATTCTAAACCTAGCAAACACCATGAGCAAACACACAGAGGGTGAGAATGCACAGCCTTTTCAGGGAAGTAGTCATTGTGACTAGTATAGAGGGGGCATATCTGGCTAGGAAATGATACTGGGAGGGAAGCTGGGGGCCAGGTTATTATGCGCCATGAGTGCCTGTTAAGGAGAATGAAGTTTGTCTTGAATTGGGAACTGTTGGAGACTTTCAGATTGAGAAGTGATCCCCCCAGGGACAATTCTGAGGGTGGTTTGAGAACTAGATTGAAGTTGGGAGGGACTAGAGTTGGGCAGGGTAGGGAGGCTACTGCAACAGTCCAAGCCAAGTGTGATGAGACAGTAAACCAGGCCACTCTGGTGGAAATGGTTTGAGACACCTTTCTAGGTTGATTTACAAGTTTAACTATTCCTTAACAGTTACCTGGAACAGGGGGATGCAAGGAGTTGAAGCCGATGCCGAGTTCTTCAGGAAGCCTGCTGTGTAGGTAGCGTACCACAGAAAGAAATGTGGAGTACAGGAGAACAGATGTGTGGAGTACAGATTCAGTGACTTAAACCTAAGGCATGTTGAATGTGAGATTCCTGGGGCACAGTCAGGCCCAGAATCTCAGTAGGGAAAAAGAGAGTTTCAATGATACAAGGAGAGTTAGCATATCAACTGTTTCACAAAGGTCAAGAAAGATGAAGATTAAAAAGTAGCCATTGGGTTTGTTAATTAGTATGTCAACCATGACCTTGGGGAGGGGACTTTCATTAGAAGAGGAAGGAAACCAGTTACAATAGGCTGGTAACTGAATGTTTGAGGGGAAGGCATTTATATTTATAGGTAGAAGAAAAGCAGCTAATGGAGAGAGAAATGGATGAAGAGATGGGACTAAACAAGCTAGGAGAGGTGGAAGAACAGCCCCAGTCCTGACAGGTTTGCGAAAGAGAGAGAAACTGCGTCTTTGCCTCAGGGGATTTACCTTTTCTCCCAGAATCTCACCCATGGTGGCTTCAGCCATCACACTGGCTGTGGGCATGAGGGAAGGGGCTCCTCTTTCTTTTACAGGCCATCTGTCCCTTTATGCACAATGGTATAGCTGGGAGGAGCTGTAATACCTAGCCCCTCGTCACTGGCAGCTTGGGGGAATACACCACGAGAGCCAGGCAATGTCCCTCTCCTCACAGCCCAGAGGTCTGGCCTTAGGGGGTTTCTGATGAAGTCAGCTCCTTCCCCTCCTGGCTCCTGGTGGCCCTGCTCTCCTGCTAGCTGCCCTGGAGCACCCGTGAAAACTTGAGATGCCAGGCCCAAGAGCAGGTAGACCAGAAGGATGGAAGCATTTTTTCTCTCATTGGTCTAAGGCTGCCTTCCAAACCCTTGATTCTTGTCCTTACTTGATTGACATTGAGACTGGCCACTCCTTCAGGGAAGACCCCACTCCACCTTTTACCCAAAGGAGGGTTACAAAACCCTTTGGTTCCCCTCCCCAAAAAAACAATCACATCAGAAGAGTCCAATAATCATACAATCATTCATAGATGGTTTCTGATGTGAGGTTAGCCTAAGCCACAGTAGTGGTCGGTTAGGTAAGGATAAATGGGATGGAGGAAAAGTTAAAGCAGTTTATTTCTTGATGTACTGATACGTTATTGTCTCCATGAAATAGAACCATAGGACTATTGCTAAGATGGAGGGGCAGTGGGTTAGTTGGGATTTGGAGAGGAATAGTTTGGAGAATGGAAATTTGAGCCATTTAGCAAAGGGTAATAGATTGTTTTAAGAGCACCAAAGTTCCCGCTGACCCCAGAAATCATACACCTGTCCATTCAGCAGAGATATGCTTTTTTTTCTCCAGCAGAGTGGCAGCCTGGGACATGTCGGGAGACAGTCATGGTTGGATTCATGCAAAGTATAGATTGACAAAGTATAGAAGGGCCTGGGATGCTGGTGAGAATATGGTTGAAAATCTTGGTCATGAGGTCCAGGCTGGGTAGGGAAAAGGTACAGACAGGAGTGCTGATGGACTGAGAGAGTTGGGTGGGGTGAGAGAAGTACAGGTCTTGCTGAGGCTGGCAGGTGCGTCTGGGGGAAGTAAGGGAATGAGACTGATGAAAGGGCAGAGTTGTTGGCTAGACAATAGGTTTCTGACTTTCAGATTTCAGAGATCAAATAGTTCCGGGGCTGGGATGTGCGAGTGGTTAGATGAAGGGAAGTAGGTTGGGAGCCATCCATCCCACGCTGGGATGCAGAAAATGATGTGCTCATCAGACTTCTTGCACTCCAGAAAAGAAATCTGTTCTTGAAACTCAGATTGATGAGCCCCAAATAAATACCAGATTTGGGAGGCATTTGCTACGCTTTGCCTATCATGCAGTTAGGAGCTAGGGTAGGAATGAATAAGACTCTCTGTCGACCTTATAAATGAACGATACGTGCAGACCTCACATTGTGGGTGTCATTCTCTTAAGAGAATGCACCAACACAATATCAAGTTTTATATTCGAGATTTTTGGCTTCTCTGAAAGAACAAGATGATCCGGGCAGCATGGGGCCAGGATTTCCTCTCGGCAGCAGTAAGATTCCTCAGCAGGTTACCTGAGTCCCCACCGCTCTGTATTGCTGCCTCACACCTGGCTGTTCATGGTGTCTTTCTTAGAATTAGGAGGGAAGTGAAATATTTCTTATAACTAAGGCACTTTCAAAAATTGGAAAACCAAAGATTAATCAGGAAGAGTATTCCTCTGTATTTGATATGCAAACATGCCGCTGTCGAAAACTATAAATTGTGATGCTATTAGGAAACAAATCCTTCCAGCTGTACTCGTTACATTATCCACCCGGCTCCTACAGGCATTTGAGTTTGCAGTGACTCCTGTAATAAAATAATAGTGGAAGTACAATCAAATACATGAGGGTTTATAAAAGTGGTGTGATAAGCAACGGCAATTTTTAGAGCAAATCATATTGTTACTTTTGCTAATAGAATGATCTTACTGAATCTCCAGTAATTAATAGGTTCCCTCAAAGTGCTACCTAACTAACTCCTGAGAGACACTGAGCCACTGAGAACAATTTAATGAATTCACGCAGTGGTTCCTCAGTGGCTGGAAATCGTCGATGTAATTCTCTGAGTGCCTAAATTCTTGGCAGCTATATACGCGTGTAAGGTAGATCCATGGAAAATGGGTGAAGGATTTTAAGTGTCAGAGGAGAAGAAGAATATGAAAATGAAAGCTTTGGGCAGGTCTAACTTGCCTCACGGGGGCCCAGGAAGAAAGAGAACTGCTACATATTTCTTATTGAGGCTCATGATAAAATACACATAATCCAACCCTTAGGAGCATGATATATTGAAATCTATCAATCTTCCTAGGATTAACGTAGGAAGCAAATGTAGCCAGTGTAGACCAGTACATTGATATAATCTGGTATTTCCTTAAAGCATTTTGGTCTTCCACTTTCTGCTCTAGTTAGCGCTCACTTTAAATTTTTTTTTTTTTTTTTTTTTGCTGTACGCGGGCCTCTCACTGTTGTGGCCTCTCTCGTTGCGGAGCACAGGCTCCGGACGCGCAGGCTCAGCGGCCATGGCTCACGGGTCCAGCCGCTCCGCGGCATGTGGGATCTTCCCGGACCCACGAACCTGTGTCCCCTGCATCGGCAGGCGGACTCTCAACCACTGCGCCACCAGGGAAACCCAGCGCTCACTTTAAACATGGGGAGCAGTCGAATATGAAGCCTCAGAGGTTGTACTGCATCTTGAAAGAAATACAGAAATAAAATGAGATGGAGGTCTGAGAAATGGAAATTGTCATCACACACTGAGGGAAAAAATAATTTGAAGGCCAAGCGTTCAGTGAGTCAGAAAAATTTGGAGAGTCGTAATGTTAGAGGCTGCAAACTGGAAACTAGATACGAATTCATAACCTACAAGGATATCAATGACGGCAAGAAGTCGGTAAACAGCATCAGTGTTATTTTGGGAGGCTGCAGGAAGCTTATTATGGACCAGGGAGCCTGAATAGCTCATGTTCGAGGCACCGTATTTAAGATACAAACAAACAGAAGATCGCGCAGTCAAGGGTGACAATAATTAAAAGCTGAGGCAGAATGAAATATGAAGAAAACTTAAAAGAGATACAGCTCTGTATTGGTGGCATGATAAAAATTAATGAGATCTTTAGAGGTATTTATTTACTTTAAACATTATGAACAAATGATTCATCAACATCTTACCATTGGTATACAGAGATAATAAACTGGCATAAGCACGATGGAGTTATGCAGAATGAGCATTTTATTAATGTCTTGCCTATCTCTTATTGCCCAACTCCGAAAATTCAACTGAAGGAACCACTAGACAGTATTTGTTGAGGGATGACTATGATATTTTGGCCCTTTTTCTGAGTCAAACTTCTATGAATTTTACAATGCCGTGAAAACACTTCAGCAAGAATTTTGGCAGAATATTTACAATTTCTTCAATAACCCTGTTCACGGAATAGGAGAAATGGGAAGCAATCACTTAGTAACTGCGGAGAAACAAGCAGGAAGGAGGAGGAACAACTGCTTACTGTGCTGCTTGTGATGAAAAAAGTCTGAGTTTAGCTATTAAAAAAGCCTGCTGGGGGCTGAGCACTGCACATGTCAGAGGCACATGCTGCTTCCCGTCACCATACAGGAGAGATGGTACCTACCGCCTGGCTGTTTGTGTGATGCAGAAGTACAGCTATAACATCTGCAGGCGTCTGACCTGTGGGAGACAAGCACTTAGGGGGATAAAAAGGAAACTGGCACAGGCCTTGGGCTTCTGGCATCGTTAGTCACAGGTCTGCCAAGATGCTTTGGGAAACATTTTAATTTAAATGCCAAGTGTATTTCAACGAAGACTCCCTGGTTTGACCTGTTGGGAGTCCAGAGGGAGATTCATAGGTGCTCATTTTGGAAAGCATTAGGAGAATTAGATGCTGGTTTTATAAAAAAGCATCCTGGAGGTTTAAATCTCTATATGTCCCCACTCACCCTAGGAAACTCATGGTACAAGCTGCAGGATATATGACTCTCATAGCATATTACTAGTGATTGGTAAGTGCAGGAAAAGGCAGAAATATCTCCAGGCGTTTATTAAAATATCAAAATTAGAGGACTTTAAGGATAAAGGCCTAGCATTCTTCCTTTCCTCCCCACAGCACAGTCACTGGCTACTATGACTATAAATTTGATAAGGCCTGATTTGAATTATTTGAATATATTTTCCTGCAAAAATATCACAAGACAGAAAAAAAATTGAACCAAACTAGAAAAAGAAAGGAAGAAAGAAAGAGAAAGAAGGAAGGAAGGAAGGAAGGAAGGGAGAGAAAGGAAGGAAGGAAGAAAGAAGGAGGGATGGGACTGAATAAAATATTATAACATTGTTGTCCATCGATGTGAAAATATGTCTGTTAGCGTGTAGGCCCAGGTTGGCAAAAGATGGATAAAAGCTTGTCTGATGTGTTACAAAAACATGAATCCAGAGATCAGAAGAATTAAAACACCCCGAGAATAACACAAAGGTATTTGAAGTTGCTTCAGAGGCAAGGGCGGGTATGTATATGTATGTAAAGCTCGTTTCCTCTGAGGCTGCTTGGCAGTTTGCTACAACATCACGCTGATGAAAGCAGGGTCTTTAAGTTCACCCCCCAGCGGACTGTCAGTTTCTCCTTCGCGCCCTGCGGGAAGCGCATTCCCGGGAAGGGAAACACACTAGTTGGAGAAGAGCTGGGGTGCTAGAGAAGGGCTGGAAGCTGGAACCAGGGAGCCTGGGATGGAGAGGTGGGTGGGGCCAGGCTGGGTGCGGCCTCGGGTACCAAGATGCGGAGATGGGGCCACGTCTGGCTCCAAGGGTGGAGAGCCAGGGAAGGTATTTGCTCGGGGGAGTGACATGATCAGGGTTTTTAGGCTGGTCACTCTACCTGAAGCATTGGGGGAGGGAGGAAGGAGGAAGGAGGAAGAACCAGAGGGACCGGCTGCAGTGATCCAAGTAGGATAATGCCCCAAAAGATGAGCCTGACCTAGGACGCGGTCTGCAGAGGGCTGGACTGGCTGGCGGCGGGACACTGGCGGAAGGACACTGGGAGGGAGGGACGACGGTGATAAATCCCTGGAGGACGACTCAGAGGGCTCAGAACAGGCTCTAACGAGGTCCTCTGCTTCTCACCTCTCGCCGCTCCCCTCCCCCCGCCCCAGCATCCTTGCAACTAGTTGAATCAATTCACAGATTCACAGTTCAGGATCCGAAAGGAACGGAATTAGCTTCTGTATGTGAAGTGGGTCTGACCCACGAGGGGACCCCGGAGGGGAACGTCCGGAGAGCCTCCTCCGGAGCTGGGCGGGAGCTGAACGAGTCCCGCGCGCGGGGCGGGGTAGGATAGGGCGCAGCGGCGGAGCCCAGAGCTCGGGACCATCGTGCGGCCCGCGGCCTGCACTGTCTTTGCTCCTCGGAGCGCCGGCGGGTGACTGGAAGTTGACAAATCTCTAGGGAGGCGGTGAGCCTCCCGGGACCCGCGGCCGCCGCCTGTCGCCGTCCGCTGGGCAGCGAGGTTCCTGCGGCCCGATGAGCCGGCCCAGCGGGAGCAGCCGCGACGACGGCGACCACGAGCGGGAGCCGGGTGGCCCGCGGCGGCAGGGGAGGGTCCCCGCGGCCTGTAGGGGGCAGCGCCGAGCCCGGGAGGAGACGGCGGCGGAGGGGTGGGCGAGTCCCGGCCTCCCTGCCCTCCGTGCGCTTACCCGGCGCCGCCGGCTTCGGCGGGGACCCGGTGGTACGTGGCGGGCCCGGCGCGCGACAGCCCCTGGAGAATTGGGATCCGGGGAGACCCCGGCGTCGCCACCCGCCCGCCCGGGGCCGCGAGAGCCTCGGGAGGCGCCTCCGCGTGGCCGGGGAGCGTCTGGGCGCCCGCCGCTTCCCCGAGCCCGAGCGGGACGCCCGGTGCCCGCGCGGTGGGTGCCCTGAGCCCCGCGGTGGGCGCCCCGGGGCGTTCCCCCGGGGAGGGCACCCCGTTCCGGCGCCCCCGGCCGCGCGGTATTTGTGGCGCCCGCGGCGGCGCGTGTGCCGGGCGTGTTTCCCTCCCGGGTGCCGGGCCCCGGGCCCCGCCGCCGCGCTGACTGTGTCTCTCTTCTCCCCCTGCAGGAATCTTCCGAGAATCCTGCTGCCGCGACTCTAACCGTGAGCGAGGCGAGCTCGAAACCAACAGCACATCTAAATTTAAAAAAAAAAAAAAAAAAAAGGCGGAAGAAGCGGCCGAGGCGGCGGCGGGAGGAGGAGAGGAGGAGGGGCCGCGCGGCCCGAGGCGGCGGGGACGCGGGGACGCGGGGACGCGGCTTTGTGCTGGCGGGTCGCGGGGCGCCCATGGCGGAGTGCGGCCGGGGGGGCGCCGCCGGCGGGGCCCTGCCCACCTCCCCGGGCCCGGTCCTCGCGGCCAAGGGCGCCCTGAGAGCCGGGGCCGGGGAAGGCGGCGGCGGCGGCGGAGGCGGAGGGCGCCTCGGCCACGGGCGGGCGCGCTATGACAGCGCCGGGGTTTCCAACGGAGACTGCAGCCTCGGCGTGTCCGCGGACGAAGCCCAGGCCAGCCCCTCCAGGGGCCCCCGCGGCGCCGCGCTCGCCCCGACCCTCGGCCCGGCCGCCTGCCCCCTCCCCCGGGAGAGCAAGCCGGGCGGCCTGCCCCGCCGGAGCAGCATCATCAAGGTAGGTGGGCGAGGGGCACCCGTCGCCCGCCCCCCGCCGTCCGCGGGGGCTCTTTCCCCAAGAGGGGAGTAGTGGTGGCAGGAGGGGGGTGTACGAGGAGCCAGCCCCCTGCTAACGGGAGCCAGGGGTGCGCTGGTGCTTGGAGTGGTTGAGCGGGGACTGGGTGCATATGGCATTTGGGAAGAATGGAGAGGTGGTCCTGAATGTGCAGGGAGCTGTGCTCAGACATCCCCCGTGGAAGTTAGGGATGTCACCTCTCCCAGGATTGGCCTGGAATGATGGCCTGTACCTGCTTGGCAGGGCACGCTCTCTTGTGGTAGCCTCGGCTGGTAACAGACTCCCTGCAAGGTTTCCATTGTATGTTAAAAACAGTTATCATGTGAAAGCATGTTCTTAAAAATCCCAGGCAGTGAACAGAGATTATTTAATAGGTTTCTTCTCATCGCTCTATAGTTGCCTCTTGCAAACGGCTGGACTCAGAGGGTGCAAAAAATCCCAGGTCACTCAATTTCACGGAGAAATGGAGCAGGTTTCTGAACATAAATGCCCATTTCGGCTTTCTTAGGGTCAGAGGCGCTGAGAGATTACAGTCCTGCACGGTTTAATCTTTTCCTTGCTGCAGTAGGCAGGCCTCCAGCTCTGTGGAAGTTCTTTTGGGTAGTTTGCTTGGTTTTGCTATCTTTTGCCTGGGGTTATTTAGCAAAAGGACGTCAGCGATTGTTTTGTGCATTTTAAACTCCAGGAGTAATGTAAGGAACTCTTGAGTTTGTGATGGTTTCGTTCTAATATTACATTTTGGTCTGCAGTGCAAACATATTTCTCCTGACATGAAGTGAAAAAAAATTGATGAGCTAAGAAGAGCAGAGCCTTAGGAAGGGCTAGCTCTTTCTGCTCAAGTTTGGAACGAATAGAAAATGTTGCTGTCTGAAGGCTGAGAGGTCACCAGGACGGTGAGCATCAAAGCACCCTGACACGGCTGTCCCCACCTTCCTGTGGCAGATCATCAGCGGGAGGGGGAGAGCAGAACGGGCCACAGTGAAGAGAATTGGCACTGGTGGTATTTGAAATTTAACTGGACCTACAGAAACCTTCTGAGTAGCATGTGGTGTCTGATGGTATTATCAGCCTCTGCAGTTACCTAGTGAAATATACAACCTTGCTACTCTATGTAACAGGCAATTGTGAAACTGCTTTTCGCTTTGTCATCTGTTGGCCCGGTTTATGGCTGAGCAAGGGCACAGTTGGAGGGCTTAAAGATCAAGTGTATTACCTATCTGCAGCAGGTGTTTAGAGTTTAGCTAAGGAAAGCAAAAGAGGTTTTTGCTGCATACCTACCTAGCTTTTAGTGACTTAACGTTTTCTTCTACTCTGTCGCTTATGTTGCCATGGAAGTTGCTTTCAACCGTGCGTGGTACTCAATACCCATTGACAGAGTTATGTGTCATAACTGTTTTTATTGGTTACTAGATATTTGTGGTGATTTTGCACTGCAGTGTTAATGAAATCTGACGTAAAAATTCCAGAGAAGATACAAGCTGACCACATTTTAACTCCTCTCCCTCAATTTTTTTGAAGGGCCTGTTCTTGCACTTTTTAAAAAAAAAAAATTCAGATTTAATTGTTGTCTACATGTGGTTCACAGTGTAACTTATTTAATTACAACAGCATCTGTTTTAATTTTGCATTCATGGGAGGTTAGGAAGAAGGATGGTTTGCCAACATTTCTGACATGTGGAATTGAGAACTTGTTGGTAGATATCATTTCTTCATTGAAGATGCTAGAAGCACATGGGGAAATGGTTAATTATTCAGAAATCACTGGAATTTTGAAAGTTTCCCAGATATCTTTGTCTTCTTTCTAATGGAGGCAGTTGGTCCCTTGTTTGCAGTTGTATCCCTAGATATACATTGTGAGGAATGTAGTAGGGGTTCAATACGTTGCTTCCTGAATGAATGGACAAATGATAAGAAAGTACATATTTTCTCTAAGTTCTTTAAATTTTTAAAATGGCTTATTGGGATTTACCAGTCTCATATCTTATGTATTGTCTTGTATCTCCTAAGATGACTTGACTCCTTTTTCTTGCCTCTATTTTCAATGTGCATTTTCTTAATCACCCTTTAAAACTATGGAAATAGTGTTGAAAGTTGATCAAGCCTGGATTTTAGGGAAGGAGTATGCTATACTTAAATAGGTAATTACTTGGTATTTACTCCCTTTCAGTTGGCGTCTTGAGGTATCAAGATTTTAGAAATTTAGTGTGGCATTTTCTAAAGACATGACAGCATCAAGTTAATAACATAATAGAATAAAGAGATCTTTAACTTTAATACCAACTTTCATAAAGCAGCAAATAATGCACAGGTATTTTTGTCACACGAATGGCAGAATTACATTTCACTTTTGTTAAAATATAATAAACAGCTTAGCAGGAGCCCATGTGAAAAAGCAGTGGTGACATCTTTCTTTGGTTTCTTTTGAATAAAGGGATGAATGCAGTCAGGTGATGGAAGGGGAGAGGCGGGAGTAGATTAGTGAGCCTGGTGATGATGGGGGACTTGAGGGCATGGCGCAGAGCGTGCATGCTCACTAAGGATCAGAGGCTGGTGTTCATGGGGTTGCATTAGTTGCAGTGTCCGGCTATGCCTGTTTCCTAGTTCATCACAGTCTTGACCTTCCTCTTAGGTGGGGATCCCCAAATCAGAGAGAGAAATAACAGCAGAAATGGGATAAACAGTGGGCAAAGAAGGGGGACTAAATGCACTGTAGGCTGACTGGAATGATATTCCTTATTTAAAATTATTTCTTTGGAACTCCATCTGTTTTGTAAGTGTGGTGTTGAGTAAGAAATTGTAAATTGTAAAACTACATTTTCTGCCAAAACAGATGCACAGATCCATACTAAAAGAGCTCCTTGGTTATGGTAAGAGTGTCGATGGAAATTCAGGGTGAGCAGCCTGGTCAGACCTTTCTAAGTACCTTGAGAAGAAAAATAAATCATGGAACTCATCACCAGACTTTTCTACTTTTCCTTAGCTTGTTGAAAATAGTATCACACTTTTTAGCTTATTCTCAAAGGCCTATTACTAGATTTTTAGGGGAGAAGCCATTATGTTTGTCATCTTTAGTAATCTAGTAAACGAAAACATCAGTTTCATTTTCTCTTTCCATATTTCATTTCATCACACCATTCAATACAGTCCACGCTTTATTTTGAAACAGTTAATTTGGTTAGCTGTTCATATGGCATTCATTTTTTACAAATAGCTCCATCCTTTAATTCAGGAGCTTGGTCTAAAAATATGAAGTAACACTTTAAGCCTTAGATTTCTTTTTAAGTTTTGAAATAAATGAAGTTAAAATGTCTATTAGTTTGGATGGTTTACTTTAGTCAAAGCTAATTAAATATTTTGGATGGTACATTAAGAGAGGTGATTTAATTTGCATAAAATAAAATTCACTCCCGTTGGTGTCTAGTTCTATGGAATTTGACAAACACATGTAAGTCATGTAACCACTACCACAACCAAGATCTAGAACAATTCTATCATCTCAAAAAATTTTCCAAGTCTCTTTGCAGCCTTCCCTGCCCCCTATCCCCAGACCATAACAACTATTGATTTGGGTATTTAAAAAAAATAAGTTGGAAGTATAGCCATTATACTATTTTGGTATTTAAAAGTAATGACAGCAGCCACTGTTTATTAAGCACTTACTATGTGCAAAACACATGAAAAGTGTTTAATTTGATTCTGTGGCCTGGTCTTGCACCAACCATGGAGGCTGAAGAAAACCCCAAGTTCAGAGGGGTTAACTGCTTGTCCAGGCTGCTGGAGCTGGTTGTTGTACCCCGCTTGGGCACTCCACTGACCCCCACATTACACTGGCAGTGTTAATTTTTTTGTATACTTAAGGAAGCATTGGTGGTTTGGAACACCAGATTTGGTTTTCCCCTTTAAATGTAGGGGATACTGAAGGGAAAAAAAGAATCTCAGTTTCTTCTGGCAGAAGAAGTTGGCAGATAATATGGCCAGGCAGCTGTCTAGTCACCTGTTATGGCTGCCTGACCAGAGACTCTGGCTTCGCTGGGACCAAAGGTTTGACCTTGTCCAAGGTGGCAGCCCTTAGTTTTCTTAATATCACTGTTGTCCTTATTATGGTGTCACGGTGTGTAGGGGAAATGCTTTTACTAACTTTCCGCCAACGTAGATTCCCTATGTCTTGATGCTGAGCACCGCATCATGGGGAACTAGCAGGCTTTTCACATCTATTATGCGTATTTAAACAAAATAATTAAAATGTACATTATGGTGTAAATAAAGTAGACTCTTTGCAGGCCAAAGCTGGGCTGTATTTATCAGTTCTGCACAGAAAGCAAGCACTCAATAACCATTTTCTGAATTTTATCTTAAGAATAATATCTGCATTTGACTTTAGACTTTTTTTTCTGAATGGGGGCTCGGGGGAGACAGCTGTACACCCAGCAAACCTGTGGGCGTATCATGAATATTCAACCAACAGTAACTGGATCACAGAGTGAATTTGTCTGGTTAAACAGGCAGCCTTGGTCATTTAGGTCAGAAAACTCTGGTAGCCAATCAGCAAGTCTCCACTTGGCTTTGTACTGATGCATGTGAGGGAGTCCAGGCTCGATAACTGCTGCAAGGCGGGCGCAGGGCCGTGAGTCTCAGCCACTCAGAGAGCTTTCGTCACACTTCAGAGTTCAGTTTCAACAGTCATTAGGGGGTGTTCATTTTCAGACCCTAAAAATTACTTACCCCTTTTGCTTCTTCCCTTCCCTGTCTTCCAGCCTCCCCTCCAAACAGTTATGCTTGACTTGTGGTGCTTTTCACCAGGTCCAAATAGACAACTGACAGGAAATTGTTTATTATTATTTTTTAAATTGCCTATCTTGGCCTCTTGAGTTAGTTTCTTAGAATGCTCTCTCCCAGAATCTGTTCAGTTCCTTTTATAGTTCTGTATGCTCTGTAAGGGGTCT